TGTGGCACTTCAGCACAATTCAAGGGCCCTCACGGTCTGGCCACTCCCTCACTCCTCAGCCTCATCTCTCATCTCTCACAGTGCCCTTCAGCCAAAATGGTCTTTTTAAAATCGCTCTCACTCAGGAGCTCTCTTTTATCAGAGGACTTTGATCAGGCTCTTCCCTGAGAGGATTGCTTGAGCCACTCCTCTTCTACCAGTTAGCTCGGTCTCAGCCTTCAGAAATGCCTCTCTGACCTCTGATGGGGTCCCGTTGCCTTCTTCTAACATCTCCTATTCTTCTGAGCACTCAAGGCAGTTGCACTTTTGCAATTACTTGTTGGAAAATTTAGTTAAAGTCAGGATCTTCCACTAGTTTCCTTGACCCATGATGGTAGTGTTTTATTTTTACATTTTATCCTCTTGCCATTTCACAGACGCTCAGGAAATACCTCTGTAGAGACTAAAGCCAGCCAGGAGCCATCAAGCCTTCAGGAGCTTAGGATGCATTTGTTCATTTCTGTAATTCAGCTCCACTTCCCTCACGGCCGAGGACCTCTCTCTGCTCGGCTGCAGATATAGCACTATAAAAGGGCAGTGGTAGATACCTCTCCAGGTAAACAGGACACAGGAGCCAAGAACCAAAAGTGTCCCTCTACCTCTGACATTATTATTTTTTAAGGTTTTTAGGAAGTGTGCTTGCTGGAGAAAGAGGAGACAGTAAGAGAGCAAGAGAGAAAGTGAGAAATCACACCCCACCACCTGAGGGGGAATGGCTTCCCTGCAATCCCTTTTTCTCTGTTAGCCTCCTGGGATTTTAAGTGTGCATGCGCATGTGCCCAGTGTGAATCTCTTTCAAGCCACCAGGTCCAGGACTAGAACCATGGTCAGCCATGTAGGAGTCCAGTGCCTTAATTCTTACGCCAACTACTGGACACAAACTTCTGACATTCTTTAGATGTCACTTTGCACTTTAATTTCTACAGTATCTGGTTTAGAACTAGAGAATGCGCCAGGAGCTCTGTGGTCATGTAGAGGTAAGTCCTTTTTCAGCCCATTTTCTTTTAGAATAACTGAGTGAGTTTTCACATTGTAACACCTCCAGAAATCAAGAGGAAAGAAAATGCTTTTGCTCACATTTGGACCAATGAAATAACCATCAATGCATTTAGTTAACAAATATTTGCAGAGTCTCTAATAAGTACCAGCAGCTACATTAGGCCTTTAGAATACAAAAGAAAAAGAAACAAGAGCCCTGGTCTCATTGAGATTAGAGTCTACCGGGGAAATATTTCAATACTCATAATACCACTGCACACAAAATAATGGGAAGGCTTTGAATGAAAGAAGTAGGATTCCTTGTGAATATTTAATACATTAATTTAATCTGTAATTGCAATAGGAGGGGGAAGGCTTACTTCATGATTGACTCTTGAGCTAAGATTTTGAAGATGTGTGGGAATTAGTTAAACACGGAGACAAGCTCAGAGAATTTCATGAAGCAATGCTAGCATGGACAGACATCCTGCAGCAGGAAGTAACTGGCAATTGGGAGGGTATAAAGAAAAGTAGGAGGAATCTGAAAACATACATGAAAGGGAAACTCTTGGAGTTGGAGGTACAGTTATTTAGCAGTTAAGAGAGTGATATGATGGAATGGATTGAAACTTGCTAACAAGGGCCAATCATATTTTTAGAAATTTTGTGAGCTGGTTGTTAAACACAAGCAGTATTTAAAACGAAAGCTATGTAAATGGACATTTAAGCAAATTACATTGAACATGAAGATTTGCTAATTACCCCGCTGTTCTTGTTTTACAACATTTCACTATTATCGGTGCTCTTGAGTCCACTGTGTCCGTATTGTAAAGACGCTTTATGCTGGTGTGCTGCTACGTGTTTCTACCACCTTCACCTTCAGTGATGTCGCATCACGCCCAATCAACCGCAGGGAGATCCTGCGCCATGAAATCTGAGCAACTCTTCAGATTAAGCCTCCTGTCTTAGTCCAGCATTGTGCTGCTGACAGAAATAGCTTAGACTGGGTGATCTGTAAGGAAATTGAGGTATTCTGATTTCCAGTCCTGGTGGCTGGAAAGTCCAAAGGCATCACAAAAAGGCAGAAGGCAGAAACCTGAGCAGAGCAGGATGCGGTCTGTACCCATAGCCACGCGGCCCCTGCCTGGCTCATCCCCTCTGATGTACACACTGGACTCACTCATGGGGCTCTGCCCTAATGACTTTATCACACTCAAAGACTCCACCCTGGACGCCGTGAAGGAATTGTTTCACTTAACTCCTTTAAAGTATAACCGAGTTTCAGCACGGGAACTTCTGGGGGACAGACAATCACAAAATCAAAGTGTAAAACGTGGGCCTTTGGGGGACGAACCATAGCAACTGCCTTACCCTCCAAGAGCCAGTTGTTTAACACTTACTAGCTTCTTATCCAGCGAGAATATTCAGGGCCTTGAAGGCCATGTTAAGACAGATCTTTATCACAGGAAAAATGAGCAGGCATCGAAAGGTTTAAAGTAAGAAGCTGACAAGAGGATATACCTTAAGAAAAACGTTACTGATATTATAGAAATAAAATAAAAAACAAAATGACTCTGGGTGGGTCTATATGGTAAATAATGGAGGCTCAGACTAGGATCTAAAAGAAAATAGAGACGTGATGCATTTAAGATGAATTTAGGAACTAAAATCGAAGGATTTGTTCTCCAGGAGCCTTGGACAGCAGATGAAAGTGAAAATGAAAGAGAAATGTCAATAATTATTTGTAGATTTCAGACTATTTGACATGGCAAGAGCAGAGGGGTGCCATTTGCTGAAAGAGAAAATAGTGGAGAAAGTTCGTTGAATTGGTTGCATTTGTTAAAAGTGTTGAAACTGTTGAAATATTGAGAGACAAAACTGGTGGCTTTGGCCTGCCTTATAAAAACAGTTGCCCAAGAGACTCGTGAGGAAGAAATAGTAAGTCTCTCTCCTCCCCAGCTTCTGGATTCTTAAGAGGTTTTCATTTTTAGTGCAATCCTACCACCATGAGTCAGAATAAATTTCATAGTCTTTTCATTTTTTTTGTAAGAGGGAATTTTGCTCTAGAGCATGTGAGCTCACCAGAGAGATAGAGACAGAGAGATAAAGTGAGAAATCACCCCTTGGGGGGATGGCCTCACTTCAATCCCTTCTTCTCCATTCTCCTCTGGGGACTTTGGGTGCAAATGCACACATGCCCAGTATGTTTCAAGCCTCTGGGTCTGAGACTTGAACCTCAATTGACCATGTGGCAGTTCAGTACTTTAACCACTCACTACACCACCTGCTGGCCCCTCAACTTCACAGTTGAATAAACTTGGATCTAGGTAAGAAAGGAGATAAAAAATCTCCATGTGGAATAAATGAAATGAAATGTGTAAAGTGAAGAGACATGAATAAGCTTTTTTTAAAAAAGTTCCATTTTCATTCTGCACAGTAATGCCTCTATGGTGGCCGTGAGAATGGGCTGAGATCTCTGCAGGTAGTGGCAGTGACTAAGCGACACCAAGGCCAGGCTCTAAAGTGCAGCATTAGAGCGGAGGTCATGCTGTCCACAAGCTGCTTCCAGCCAGTGACAATAAGCCAGAGATACCAAGGCAACCAGTCATGGGAGACACCCTAATTGCCTTGCAGAGCTTTCCTGAAAACTGCATTGTCTGAGGTCCTTCCACCCAGTCTTTCTGTATCTTAGGCTTTCTTCACACTAACTCAGACCTGCCTCACATCCTCATGGCCCTGACAGCCTTGTCTGCCTCCTGCCTCTGCCTGTGTCTATCCCAGGCCTTCTGTGGTCGAGACATATGCTTTTTATTAGTGTAGAACCTGGGCCCAAGTGAATTTCCAATCCCTGTCCCTAAGGTCAACAGCTTTTGCATCTGCCCTCTCCCAGAAGCGGAGGATCTTTGCCTGTGTCTTAGAGGTGGGAGACTTCGTGCTGCTTTGCTTTGTCAGTGAGATAGGTGGGTCCAGGAAGTGGATGGGGTTTTGCTCTTTCGTGCCCCAGAAGGACTCTTTCCAGACCTTTCCCTCCCCTCAACCTTTCACATGAGAGACTCACAGAAAAGAGGCAGTGATTGAGTACAGAAGACATTGCCTGGGCTCCTAAGAACTCTCAAGTGTCCTGAGAGCACACATTCTGCCTTTAGCTGGTCATCATAGTCTTGCTGTCTTGTCCACTCACTTTTGTGCCGGCTGTCTTTTTTTCCTGTGATTTTTTTTTTTCCCACAGGAGAAAAAAATTAAGATGCATTTAGGAAGTAAAATAGGACTTATTCTCCAGGCGCCTTGGACAGAAGATGAAAGTGAAAATGAGAGGGAAGTGTCCATGATAATTTGTAGATTTCTGACTATTTAACATGGTGAGAGCAGAGGGGTGCCATTTGCTGAAAGGGAAAACACTGGAAGAAGTTCCTTGAATTTGTGGCGTTTGTTACATGTGGTGAAACTGTTGAACTTATAGGCCTTGGAAATACTGAAAGAGTGAGCAGGTGGGCTGTCTACTTCAGAGGGCTTGAAACTCTTGAATGCTCATTCGATTGTTTTGTAATCTCCTTTCTCTGATGGTCTTAAGAAAAGGTATGATTTTTCAGATCGTCTGGCTTTTTCTCCGGTTCAGCAGAGAAGCAATGCTCTGTAACTTTCCACGTTCTCAACAGAAGGGAGGTAATCTGTCCTTCTTTGTAAGAATCAGTTTTAATTCTGTACCCGGGTTCCATCTTTGGTGAGTTCAGCTGAGTCAGGAATAGAGTGTGCACAGCCATGGCATATTACATTCTAGGTGTGTGAAATTATGTGATCAAGCAGTCGGCACTGGGTGCGATGGCCGCTCTTCTGTAAATGTACTGACCAAAAACATGAAGCACGAAGGAATATGCACAGTCTCAGCCAACGTTCCGCAGCCCATTCCATCTAGACAGAAGGAAATTGTTTCTGATATATTTTTCTTTGGTTCATTCAACATAGTGACCTTGTCCTTTTCTGCCAGGTGGTTGACCAGATTGATACCCTGACCTCTGACCTACAGCTGGAGGATGAGATGACCGACAGCTCCAAAACCGACACGCTCAACAGCAGCTCCAGCGGCACCACGGCCTCCAGCATCGAGAAGATCAAGGTGCAGGCCAACGCGCCGCTCATCAAACCCCCGGCACACCCGTCTGCCATCCTCACCGTTTTGAGAAAGCCAAACCCTCCACCGCCCCCTCCGCGGCTGACACCTGTGAAGTGTGAAGACCCCCAAAGGGTGGTGTCAACTGCCAATCCTGTGAAGACCAATGGCACCCTCCTGCGAAACGGAGGCATTCCCGGAGGACCGAACACGATTCCAAATGGAGATGTCTGCTGCATACCCAACAGTAACTTGGACAAGGCTCCAGTGCAGACTCTGATGCATAGACCTGACAAAGACAGGTGTCCCCAGGTGGGGCCTCGGGAGCGAGTACGGTTTAATGAGCAAGTGCAGTACCATGGCTGTTGTCCTGACTGCGATACCCGGTTTACCATGAAAAACAGGGAGGTCCACCTACACAGCGGACCGGGCCACCCACCAGGAAAGATTCCTCACCAAGGTCCTCCCCTCCCACCACCACCCCATCTTCCTCCTTTCCCGCTAGAAAACGGGGGGCTGGGAGTAAGCCACAGCAACAGCTTCCCCCCTCTCAGACCTGCGACTGTGCCTCCTCCCCCTGCACCGAAACCACAGAAGACGATCTTGAGAAAATCAACCACTACCACAGTGTGATGTATGGCATTTCAAAAAAGGTTTTGTTTTATTTTTTAATTTTCTATATTATAAACATAAAATAATAAAAGAGCACTTTCTACTCAAGCAATAAAAAGCCCAAATATATTAATCCTGCATTCAGCAAAGTGGCATAAAAATCACCTGGTAAGTATGCAGTAAATTGCTTATATCCTGGGTGTACATTATTTTAAATATTGTATCATCAAAAACCACAGAGTAATGAAAACACCTGAATGCATTGTCGTTGCAACTGACCTATGACAAACTGTGACCTGCAGATTTCAAATATTTTGATTTAATCTACGAGATGGGATTTGATTCATTTTATTCATGCCTAACTCATCTATGCATTAATAACATGTCATACTCTTAACTTTGATCTAATGCTTTTTAATAAGAAATTTTAATACCGAAGGACTATTTTGTTATTTTTTTCTAAAGATGTTTGTCACTAGTTTTGCATTATTAAATGCTGAGGACAATACCAAAAAGTTTATTTTCTATACTACGCAATTATGAATTATATGTTCAGCGATAATATGTAATAAAATATTTTGGTCTGTGGAGATATCATTCTATCAATAAACAACAGTAAATAATGGCAAAACCAAATGTTCCTCAGAGTTAAAATGAAGCATTCATTCATTTAATCCCATGTTTATATTCATCAAAATGGGCAGTAATCCTGACAGAGTTGGGAGAGGATCACAGTGAGTGTATGTCAGAATTTTATAAAATTAGATATGATAATCCATGCCCCAGCTAGAACTTTACACATTTAAGTTAGAATTAGATATGATAATCCATGCCCCAGCTACAACTATGTACCTGTGTAAAGTGCAGGGATTCAGGAATCATCTATTGAACTCCCCTAGAACCTCCTCACTTTCCTCATTCTTCAGCACACAACACAACCTGTTCATTAAAACCATGGAATGATTTGCCTTCTGCATCAACAAACTCTGCCTCCTTGAGGGAACCCACATTTACAAGAGAATTACAGGGAAATGCATAGATGCTTCTGGTAACAGGATATGTTTACCACCAGCCTTAGACTTGTTTTAGGATTTGAAAGATGCCATGGTTCTTTACTGTCCTATAGAAAAAAGAGAAGGAATCTTTCCCTTCCACCAAATAAGTTTTTCTCTTCCGTCTCATTCATCAGGTGAGCAGTCTTATCCACCCATGGACCGAGTTCAGTTCCCAACTGCATGGACTTTTCCTCTGAAATCAGAATGAATTTATTTTCCCTAAAAGTCATGATGAGGACTGGTGCCTGAACAAAATTGGCCCACTAGGTGGTTAGAGTAGGAGTCACCTTTGGTGGAAATTTATTCATCCTTCAACTTTAATAGAGACTTCAGTTACCCTTCTTGAATATTTGATTTTTGATCTCAAGACTTAGTTTTGCTGCTTCAAGGAGTTAGTCTTCAACCATATTTCTTCGTTTTGTTTTGTTTTTATTTCAAGCTATTTCATGGTAATTTGGAATACTGTTTTTAAATATCTTCCTATGAACAAATGATAATATATTTTAAGAAGAATACAGAAATAAGATAGGCTTTATTTTTTAAAGGAACAATTGAATGAATGAAAACATAGAATGCCATGTTGAACACTTCCTCGGCATGATTTTATTGTGTATGTGTTGCACATGAAGAGATGCCAGTGAACAACCGAACTTTTCAAAAAGTTGCAAATATAAGTACAATAATCAAGAAAGACCATAAACAATTATTAACTGTATGATTAGTATGTTTAATAAATATGAGCCAGGTAAATAAATAATCGACTTGTTGAATACCAAAGTAACGTGTTCTTAACTTTTTAACGCATGCTTTTAGTCTTGATATAAATGCACCCAGAGTTTCATCATCTCTCTAGATTTAAATAATGCCTTTTTCACATGTCCATCAAGTGATAGGTCATTTGAGATTATGAGAAGTCTAGAAGACATGCATTTTTCTCTCTCCAGCTCATCTTCCTCTTTGGCTAGTTACTGTCACCTGATAATCGGCTATAGTTTGGGACCATAACTCTTTATCAGTGACCATGAACCAAGATAGAACTTTGTAACCACCAGAAATAATCCACAGAGTAGATATCTTGCTTGCAATAATAAAGGAGGCTGAAGAAAGAGGATCAGTCAAGCTGGTTGAATGAGAACATTGAGTCAGACACCCAAAAATAAACTCAGAGGTCCAAATCTAGCTCTTTTCCTCAAAGTATAGACAAAACTTCCCCAAGAAAGACCATCTTTTTCTGTTTGGTTGGTGACATATGCCAAAACACCTTTTTGTAGTCAACATATTTATAACTACTGAGTTAGTTATAACTCAGTGAGTTAAATTTCAACCATAACATGTTAGTCATTAACTGTACTCTTTTATTGTAGTTCATTTATTATAATCAACCAATATTAAATGTTAAATTACAGCAGTAATCTGTCGCAGTCAAAACTTTCATTTGAGTTTATTTATTCCATATTATTTCCTTTTTTTTTCATTAATGTAGGGGGTATATTGTACCAATAGATGCTCTAGCCCAGCTGATAATTTTGCAACATTCATTGGAACTTAGTTGTCTTAAAATATAGGTAAACTTACAAAATATGGAAAGCAGTTACCATAGAGCATCATAATATTTGCCTAGAAACTGGCAATTAAACTGTCATAAGTGGCAGTGCAGTTCTTGTAATCTGTCGCAGTCAAAACTTTCATTTGAGTGTATTTATTCCATATTATTTCCTTTTTTTTTTTCATTAATGTAGGGGGTATATTGTACCAATAGATGCTCTAGCCCAGCTGATAATTTTGCAACATTCATTGGAACTTAGTTGTCTTAAAATATAGGTAAACTTACAAAATATGGAAAGCAGTTACCATAGAGCATCATAATATTTGCCTAGAAACTGGCAATTAAACTGTCATAAGTGGCAGTGCAGTTCTTGTAATCAGCAGCTTTGCTTTCAAATTTAAATTTCAGAGTGCAAGCTCCCCACGTCGACCATTAAATCATCATAAACATGGTATTTCATTCCTCTTCCAGAAGATGCCAAACAGAAATGCTTTTTTAAAAATCCTCATGTACAACTGCTTTTTTTAAAAAAAATATATATGCATTTGAATACTTTTGTTGGCGCATAGTATGTACTACAAAGCAAACATTCATTCTCCTTTGAAGGTAGTGTCTCTACAAGATGTAAAATAATAATACACCACTTCTGATGACATCCAAGATCCTTGTACAGTGTAAAAACAGAACATATTTCACAAGACATGGTACTCATTAAATTGTAATAGAAAAGGTTTTCGAATTATAGTTTAAACAAAGATCCTCACATTTCAGGAGGTGATTGTATCTCTACCAATGAAAGGCAGAAAGAAGATAAAAATTGACCAAAGTTCCTGTGTACCTCCGACAGTTACAGCAGTTATCAAAGAAAAAAAAGAGCTGATTTTTTTTAGGGCCCATGTCAGCTAAATATAAAAATACCTTCACAAAGATACAAGGGCATGCAAGAAAAAGAAGGTTCCCACTCTACCAATTTGACATTATTATAGTCAAACCTCCCCTCATTAGCTTAATAATATTCTGGGGGGAAATGATCTGCTATTAGCAGAACTGGTTTAATTAGCTTAAAAATTTTGTGTTGAGTTATAACTGAACCTTAATTATTTAAGGAATAAAAGAATAAGGCATGCCATTAGATGACTTTCTTTGGTCAGATCAGACCAGAGCAGGAGCTACACACAGTCTCTGAAACTATACGGGAATTTTATCTGCAAATTCTAATTATAGCGTTTTTGGGGTGCTCCATAAAGAAAAGTCTGAGTAGTTTGACATTTAATTGCACCGGGAATGGTGCAATCAAGTCATGAATCACTGCCTTGACTGAATTTTTTCCCATAGAGTATATGTAATAATGCAGTGCTGAGTCTTATAATTATCCTGAAGATCCCGTCTCTTTTTCCTAATTCTCTGTTGGTAGCACATTTTGCAATAATGTGCACTCAATGTTGTAGCAAACGATTACACTGTAATGTACTTGATAAAATACTGATGATTTCCAAGTGAAGAATTGATTCATGAACAATAAAGCTCCATAAAAAATCCATATAAATGTAATTAGATAAAGTGCATAGAATCTGACCATTACCAGACATTATCACAAAACTCACAGGGCATTTTCTGGGTCAATGCATAGTTACGACACCATACAGTTTTAGAGTAAACATTTTAGAGTTTGAGACTCCTTCCAGTGGCATGATTCTGAAATAATGTCAGTTGTGAAGTTGCCATCAGGATACACAGCAGTGCTGAATATAAAACTGCAGTTAGCTACATCTTAGTGAGCAGTGATGGTGCAGGGTGCCATTTCATCTGAAGCATTTGGATTTATCATTCTATTCTTCTGGGAGGGAAAAGTGCAACATAAAACAGTGTGCAAATGGCCCTCTCTTTAAAACACAAGGAAATCAACATGGGATATAGAATTGTGTGAAGGTCAAGAGAAAATAAGGAAGAAATATTGCTTATAAATGATAACTTCTAAACTGATCAAAGATGGGTAGACTGGTATGCTAAGTTCTTTCCAAAGCCTTACTTATCTCTAATACTAATGTATAAAATAGGAATTTTTTTAAAGCTCTTTATTGTTTTATTCCATGAGAGAGAGAGAGAGAGAGAGACAGGCATCTCTACAAGGCTCCCATGCCATGATCACCCCCAGCCCAAGACAAATGGATCATGCGCATGCATGTGCCTGGTATGGTCAGGGGAGTCTCTAGACATGAACCTAGAACCTCCCGATGTGGACAGCCTTACAGAGCATGGCACCACCACTGTACCACCATTAAGCCCCTATAATGAATATTTTTATTTTAATGTACTCGTGGAGAAATCTAAGTCTTTGATTTCAGTATTATGCCAAAATTGTCCCCTTATTAAGTATTGGGCATGCATTTCAGTGCCAGCATTATTCCTATGCATTTTCTTTCCTAAACATCATTTAATTTGCAGTTCATAGCCCTAAACTTCGCAAATTTTCCTTTATTTGGAGCAGTTATTTTGATTCTTGAAAGGGGTTACCTAATGTTGTTTTGACATTCTTAATACGTTTGATCTTTGCAGAATATGAAAGGGATTTCAGGCAATTTAGCTCTTGTCCAAAATGAATGAACTGCTGAATAATGCAAGCCTCATTTTTTCATGTATTATACAAGTTACTTCACCTCAAATGGATCATGCGCATGCATGTGCCTGGTATGGTCAGGGGAATCTCTAGACATGAACCTAGAACCTCCCGATGTGGACAGCCTTACAGAGCATGGCACCACCACTGTACCACCATTAAGCCCCTATAATGAATATTTTTATTTTAATGTACTCGTGGAGAAATCTAAGTCTTTGATTTCAGTATTATGCCAAAATTGTCCCCTTATTAAGTATTGGGCATGCATTTCAGTGCCAGCATTATTCCTATGCATTTTCTTTCCTAAACATCATTTAATTTGCAGTTCATAGCCCTAAACTTCGCAAATTTTCCTTTATTTGGAGCAGTTATTTTGATTCTTGAAAGGGGTTACCTAATGTTGTTTTGACATTCTTAATACGTTTGATCTTTGCAGAATATGAAAGGGATTTCAGGCAATTTAGCTCTTGTCCAAAATGAATGAACTGCTGAATAATGCAAGCCTCATTTTTTCATGTATTATACAAGTTACTTCACCTTTTTTTTTTTTTCTCAGTTCAAAGACTATTATTTTGGGCCTTTTTCCTTAGAAGTTCTTATTTCATAGTATTAATATCAGTGACCCTGAATGTGTCACCATCTTTCATTCATACATCATTTGTGAATTTCATCTATTTAACATTGACCCTTAGAGCTAAACATGACAATAGATCCACTCTGGAAGTTCAAAAGAACTAGCACATTAGAATTCTCTTTAATAAAAATATTTTAATCCTTTTGTTATTAGCCTATAGATATGATTTTTCACTATTTGGTAATCCCAACCACCACAAGGGGTTTTGAACCAGCTAAATAAAACAATGCGTGTGTATCAGCTCATGGTGACAAGATGTATGATATCTACTCCTAATCAAGAGCTTCCTCTCTGCTGCTCTTCTAAGTGTTCTGCATATATTATTTTTCTCTCATAACATCATTCTTCCTCCATAATAACCTGATGTCTTAGCCATTATAATGATCACATTTTACAATGGAAAACTATGTCACCAGAAACTGCATACTCATGATCTTAGCGCCAGTGAGTGGCCACGCCAGAGCTGTAAGGGAGGTGGTTCATCTCCCTGACTCCGATTCTTTGTCCCTTTCAGAACTGCCCCAAGCATGGACCTGACAAAATGTACCTGTAAGTCCTATATATTCGTAGACCTGAAAATCATCATCTTGGGGACATTGCCTGAGAAAGTTGTTGGAAGATATAAAATAAGAAAATAGATGTATTTCTATATTCGTTAAGGTAGACTAGCTGTGTATCAAATAACCTAAACATCTCAGAGCCGTTGGAGTTTTTTCTTGCTCACTCAAATTTTGTCCTGGGTCTGAAAGACTCTCTCAGGCAGGAGTTCCCTCAAATAGTCGTTCAGCAATACAGACTTGACCATGTGACTCTGAAATCCTCATCCAGGACTACTACAATATATAGAACAGGGAAACTGGGGAATCTTATCAGTGCTTCTCCCTCAGCTCTTGTGTACTTCATTGGGTTGGCTAAGACTAGACCTATGGCCACACCTGTGGTCCTCGTGTGCTCAGA